CTCCAGCCCGGCCTGGCCTTGGCAAAGGCGTCCGGGCCGGTTGTTGGCCCCGCGGGCCACCGAGATGGCAGCAGCACTGCTGAGAACTGCTGCTCTGAGCGCAGCTTGGTCACAGTTTTCGTTAACTTTGGCCAATGAATCGCACTTTCAAGCTGTGGGGTCAGAGGCAGGATGGGCCTTCAAGTAGAATAGAAACTTGGAGAAAGATCTTTTCAAACGGTTGATGCTGAAGGGGATGTTTGTGACTTGCCCGTGGCTGGGGAAGTTGGCTGCTCTCTGTGAGAACTAGTGCAGTTCCCATTACTTGGTACCGGCTGAGTCAAAGGGAGGGCCAGGCCGGGCTGGAGCAGTGGGGTCCCTCCGTTGCAGTGACGTGCAGGGTGTCACTGCGGGGCTGGTGACAGGGACATGCGGAGGTCCCCGCTCCATCATGCCCCTAGGAGCAGGACAAGCCTCGACCCCGGACCACGCTGGCTGTGGCTTTGATCGGCTCCACCGCCCTGGGGATCAGGTTTTCCTGCTGCCCAGTGGGAATGTCCCAAACTGCTCGTGTGGTCATGGGCCCTTGTTCCCTTCTCTGCCCCTGCCGGGAAGAAATGACCTCCGAGGGCTGCAGAGCTCCCTGCCAGGACCCGCAGGCTCTTACTGGGTTGTCCTTAGTCTCCTCTTCGCCAGCCAGACTAACCCAGCTCCCAAACTGCTCCTGTGCCTCCCTGACGGCCTTGGCAGACCTCTGCTGGCACCACACCAATTCCCCCACATCCCTCTTGTATTCCCAGGGCAGGAAGAGCTGCCCTTAACCTGCCACCGCGTTCTTGCCTTAGTCCCATATGTGATTTGCCCTCTACACGGTGAGGGAACCACACGGGCTACAGTAAATACCGTGATGCGGGGCCTGGAGAAGCACCGTGCAGCAAACCCCTTGGAGCTGCAGGGCCCACGAGGACACGGGCTCCGCTCCCCCAGGCTCTCCTAAGGTGCCAGGCTCTGCATGGAGCAGCAACGAGACCCAGCCTGGGAGGAAAGCAGGGAGCCGCGTGTGCAGGAGCCGAGAGCGGCTCTTCCAGGAACGAGCGACGTGCTGGGGAGGAATACGGGGGGTTTCATTTCTGCACAGCATGAGGAACCTCAGTCCCAAGTACGGAAATACCCAGAGCTGGCAAAGGCAGGGCCTGCGCCTCGCACGGCCGGGACGGACCAGCGCAGCCTCTCCTTAGAAGGTGGTGAATTACAGCTTAAGTCCCTGAAAAATATGGGGAGAAATAATCTAATAAAAGTATTTCTAAGCACTTGAAAGATGGTGGACGGACCAGCGCAGCCTCTCCTTAGACGGTGGCGAATTACAGTTTAAGTCCCTGAAAAATATGGGAAGAAATAATCTAATAAAAATATTTCTAAGCACTTGAAAGATGGGGAGAACCTGAAGGGCAGCCCATGATAGGGCAAAGATCTTGTAGCCAGAGAAACAAGAATGTTTGTTGTCTAGGCTCTGGCTCATACGGCATTTTCATTTAAAATTAAGGAAATCTGGCTCACACAAGACTCTCATATGCAGGGTGTAAATGTGATTTGAACTACATCTCATGAGCAAATAGCAGTGATCCTCTGTTTAAAATGCCCAGATGAAGTGTGGGCTCCTGGGATCTCATATGGACTCATTTCTCCATGACTTCCATTCACATCCGAACAGGGGATCTAGGCATTAAGCACAGAGACTCCGGCGTGCCGTGGGACAGGCTGAGGACTAAGAAGAGTTTGGACAGATGGAGGAACATGCAGAAAACCTTAAAGGAAATTTGGAAGCCAAGACACAGGAAAGAGCTCCGAGTGCACTGGGAAGTACTTGGGTGGTTGCAGTTTTGGAGTAATGAGTGGACAGACGTTTGCTGGAACATCCCAGATCTGTGCAGGGGACATGGGGCAGCATGGGGTCAGCCACCAACTTGGGGAAAGCGGGAGGGACCGGGGACTGAAGGAGTTAGCTGGAAAATCGATCACAGAAAATAATATGTCAAAAATAAGATAAAAGGCCACTGAGTGCAATGAAATGGGCCAAAAACATATGGCGGCCTGGACTGATCTGTATGGACTCGAGCAGAGCCTATGCAATATAGGTATATTTTATATATCTGTATATGACACGTCTGGTATGTGCTCTGTGCTCTGATGGTCGCACTCCACACAGTTGCTCTTGGTAGCCCCCGTAACACGGTTGTGGTTGGCGAAGACGCCCAAGATAGCGCTGGTGCGTAGCTGCCTTGGTCAAAACTTCCTCTCGGGTGCAGAAGAAAACACCCAGCCCAGCTCGCTGCAGTGACACGTCCTGGGCAAACGCGGTGACGAGCTCCCCTTGCTGCTGCCCGAAGCCCCGGGATGCAGCAGCCACACGGAGCAATCCATGCCCAGGGCAGCACGCAGCGGGGACAGGACGTGTGAGCTCCTGGGGTGCCAATCTCCATGGAGAATCCGAGAAAGGAACAGGCGGCACTGAGGTGTCCTGCAGTGGTGAGATCACAGTCCACCCAAAAGCCTGGTAGCTCCTGCCCAAAAGAGACTCCTAGAAACAGGTCTCCAGGCTGCCAAACTCCTGCTGCAAACGGCCAGGCTGGGGCCGCAGTGAATCAGCCCATGAGAAAGGAAGCGGGCGAGGGACGCTCCGAGGAGGGACAAGGGTGGAGGAGATTCCCGAGGAAGCAGGAGCCTGGACAGACACATGCTCAGGGTGGTTCTGTGCTCCGTACACGACGGCCTCCGCTGATCCTGTGCTCTGGGACTGCTTTTGTCCATCAGTTGTGCAGCAGGGGTGTTTGCTGCTCTGCAGCCGCAAGCGGCCGGGAGGACCCGCGAGGTTTGGGCTGCCAGCGGGGAGCAACAGGGCCACTGGCCGAGGAAGGAGCAGCCGCCCCGGGAGGGCTCCCCTGTCCCAAGCTCGACTAGAGTGAATAAGTGCAGAAGAACCCAGGCACCGGCAGAGCTTTCGCTTCCTCCCGCTGCCGCCCGTCCCCGGGGCCCTGCTGTCCACACAAAGCTCCCCTTCCTCCGCAGCCTCCGCCCGGCTGCAGGGAGGAACCTCCCTTCTCCCGAGCAGGAGTTTCCCTCTTAGTGCCTGCGATAGCCCGGGCAAAGGGGCAGCGAGCAGGGCTGCGAGAGGAGCCCAGGTGTCCATGAAGGAGCCACAAGGAGCTTCTCCTTCCCAGAGGAGCGCAGGGCAGAGTGGGACGTGCGGCGCACGGAGGGGCTGCCAACCGCACAGCCTGACGAGACCGGAGCCAGGACTGTCCCGTCTGCCCGCTGCGGCTCCGGGTGCTTCGCAGCGCTGCTCTCCCCAGCCCCGCGCTAGGGCTGGCCATTTACCCCAGTGCAAAATACACAATTTTAGGCTCTGCAAGGTCTGTGTCTCCCTGCACCTCCTGCAGAACGCCGGGTGCTGACATGTCCCTGCGGAGCGCAGAACAGGGCAGCAACAAAGCGGGCGCCACGGGCAGGCGCTGCGAGGAGGAACAGCAGTGCAAATGGGCAACTTGCATCAGAGGATGTTGCCGTTTTCTTCTTCGTGTTTCACTGTCAGGAAACCCAATGCAATTGCTTTTCCCACCTAGTTGCTCGAGCCAAGCAGAACATGCCAGTTGTTTACATCACTAGCAGTGAGAGATGAGAAAAACGCAGCAAGGGGCTTGTAGAAACTCAGATGCTGCCCTGGGTGTGAGCCAAGGTCGCAACCAGGATTTTGATCAGCAACAAGAATATGTAAAGCCTGGCTTTAGATTGAAGTGTATTTTCTAGCTAATAAATAGCAGAGACAGCAGGAAGACCCCAAACCTCTCTAGCCGAAGGGCACAGAGGTTCCCTAGGAGAAACCTTTGGTTGGCAACTGCTGCTGGGCAGAGAAGCTGACAGTGGCTGTTTTACAAGTGTCCCTATAGTTGCCTCTTGCAAAAGACAACCTGGACAAAAATAACCTTGTCACAAGAGGAAGGTTATCCATCAATCTGCCTTTTTTTTTTTTTTTTCTTTTTTAGGAAAAGAAGCATAACCCCAGGGGAAGTGATGAGCACCCAGCAAACGATCCCTCTCAGTCACATGAAGGGTTTCTGTGCTCCGGGGCTGCTGATTAAGCAGAAGGAGGAGCGCACAAACCCGGGCACTGTGCGGAGGGGAGGCTCCTTCCACGGAGCGGGGACACCCCCGGAGCGCTCGTGTGGCTGCCGAGGGGGACCCAGGGCGCCCTCCCACAGCCCCTGTCAGTGACAGGTTTCTCTGAACTGGGAAAAACATCCCCCCTGCTCGCGTGTCCTCCTGCCCAGGGCACCATTTCCACTCATACGGAATCACCTTAGTCAGGAGCGTGGCCTTCGGAAAGCTCCAGGCTCAGACAGGAGAGGCGTTCAGCACCTCTCCTTGCAGCTCCCGCCGATGGGGTTTCGTCTCCATCATCTTCGTGCGGTTTGTCCGGAAGGAGCGAGTGGCAGAGACAAGCGGGACAGAGAGCAGCCGAGAACTCAGTGCCCAAGGGAGGAAGGGGGCTCCCATGGAGAGGTCAGTAATGAGCCCCGAGCAGGCCAGGCCGCAGGGACACTCACATCTCCCCATGCGGCAGGTCCAGCTGCTCCTCTGGTACCTGAACTCGATTGAGGCAACGCAAGAGCTGCCGAAAGGGCTGCCTGGCCTTGAGGACATCAAACAACTGGAGCTTTTATAAATGTAGAGCAGCCTTAATCTTTAAATCCTAAGCTTTGCGGTTATATCGCTACACTTAGGGGGCCTGAAGTTACAATATGCCTGGCTAAAGAAATCAGAACTCTCAAATAGAAGCAGGAACTGAGATCCCACATGCAGGGCCTCAGCTGGAAGCAGCCTCACCTCAAAGGCTGGTAACGCTGCAGGCAGCGCAAGCCCTAACATGGAACAGCATTCGGCTAAGCCTTGCATAGAGAATGGCTGGGGACTGCGCTCCTGCCAGCTCTGCAGCACCCACAAAGACACTGGATGGTCAGAGGGAACCAGCTGCATCTCCTTCAGAAAGGACCTGAGCGGTGCCGAACTCGCTGCTCGCCCACGAGCAGAGACAGGACGGAGCGGAGCGGAGCGGAGCGGGGCCGCCCCTCTGCGACAGCGTCTGGAGCAGGCGAGGAGCCCCCGGCAGGAGCCAGACCCATCGCAGTGCAGAAAGGAGTCAAAAAGGCCCCTGCAGCCGGTGGCAACCGGGGCGGCC